ACTGTCATTTGTGGAGGTGCTCCCATTGACATGACATTCCGAAAGATTTCATTCATAAAAGAAACATGTTCCTTAATTTTCCAAGAAGCTGTCAGTACCACTAGTGAGCTCTGAGTAAACCCAGAAAAGACAACCCTAAAAAGTGAAACGCTAAAATCATGGTTTTGTAATGCTCTGAAATTATTATCCTCATACCTGACTACCTAGGGATCATGGTAATACCATTTTTGTCCTCATTTCCGAGGGAAAAAATTGCACAAACGTTGTCATCTCAATGCCGCTGGTATACTGTCGCTTATCGACGAGCGCTGCGCTATTATCTTACACTGTCTTAAATGTAATTGTTTCAAGGTCCCTAATACAATGCAGTACATCAACCTTATTCGCGGAACATCGCGTGATGGATGTCTGTCCTTTCGTAATAGGTAAATCAAATTATCCCAGAATCGAACAAATGAAATGGTACCACAAAAAAGTTCCAGAGCATCCTCTCAAACGTCGTACTCGCAATCAAACAAATGACAAGCGCGCCAAAAGTGCAGAGCTGTTCAAAGAACAATTGTAAATACCTTCTAAACTTGTATGACAAACAATAGTGCAAAGGGTGCGCCATACGCGTTTTTTTTTGCGCATGGAGCTGTAAAATACAACAAACATATTACAAAATCCTTTTGGAAAATCAAGTTTTGTAACAGAACCTTTCCTAACTAGGACAGACAAGTAATAAATATTACTTTTTGTAGTAGCGCAAGAGAATTTTGTGATTTTATTTATCTTGACCTCTCTGCTTTTTAGGCCCTTTCTTAGGGGGGCCTAAAAAGCAGAGAGGTCAAGATAAATAAAATCATAAAATTCTCTTGCGCTACTACAAAAAGTAATGTTTATTACCCCCTCTTAGGCCTCTAATGATATGTTGATGTTGGCTTTGTTTTCTAAATTTATGAAAAGTGCAACTGGATGTAGAGTGAAGGTGATAAGTTTTCACATATACCTAGAGAAGTTCAGCAATTCAATGAGCTACTACTAAACAAAAAGTGATAGTTCCATGCATTAGAAACAAGTTTTTGAAATTATTTTAAAAATGAGTAAATTTAATTTGAAGCATGAAGTATTAGGCATGTTGAAGTGAATTACCTCCATGCACAGCTTGGCTTACTCTTTGCTGCGGCAACTGTACGAATTGTTGTTGAGGTTGAAATTGTTGTTGCACTCGTTGCTGTGGTTGGAACTGCTGCAATTGTTGTTGGGGTTGAAAATGCTGCTGCACACGCTGTTGTGGTTCAAACTGCTGACGTATCTGCTGATGCTGCTGTACTTGCTGTGATGGGTTAAACTGTAACCTTCGGGGCAAGATCCGTGCTGTACTCTGAAAAGAACATGATATGATTGTAAAATTGTACTAATAGGATTGTGAGTACATTGTTGATTTGCGAAAATGAAGCAGAATATATTCAAGCGAAATTTCTACCGTTACTCTAACCATTCACCATTAATCAGATGCACTTCGTTCCTCGCTTTTGGTTTTAGAATCATCGAATTATTGCTAATTTTCTTTCTGCTGTTTTACGCGTTGTTTTGAAGATGAGCTGAGTTTTGGTAACTTTGTATGAAGTCTATTTTAACTCAATACATTAACGGATTATGAAGGCTTCCTGGAAATCCCTTTCTTGGAAAAAAAGCTTGACGGAGTTCAGCTCAAGGATGGTGATCTGTTGTTTTACATTTTAGATGCAACACATACGTTAAATGCATGTACCTTTTACGGCTTCTTATTGATGTTCTAATTCCTTTCGACACTAAAGCTAAAAAACCTAGCTCGTGTTCCTTATACTTTACATTTGATTAGGAACATTCAAAAACAATTCTTGTATCCAACCACATAGTCTGAAAAATCAAAATTTCCAAGATCTGAGAAATTACATCAAAACATGATAGTACGGTCAAATTTATTTCAGTTTAAAAGCGACTGGATCACTACAGCACATCGTGAATTCTAGTA